AAAAATTTATGTATTTTAATAAAATATTTTTATTTTTTGTACTGTTACCTCTGTAATTTTTTGCGATGCGATTAAATCTTTTAAAATACATATATAAACTTTGTATTTTAATAGCTTGTATTCCCTTGTTGGGTTTAAATATTTTAATAAAATATTTGTATTTTGTACTGTTACCTCTGTATAATTCTTCATGATTCAATCTTTTATTCTAATCGAAAAAAAGCAGTAGTAATATTATACCTCGAAAAAGTCTAAGTAACAAGTGGTAGACGTAATCTTTGTATCTCGAAAAATATGTTCTCTGTAATTGGCGCTGTAATTTAAAAAGAGATATCATTTCTTTTTTGTAATTGTAATAATAGATCACTTGAAGCGCGACTCATTTTTGATAAGGTAACGTAATTTTGTGATGTGTATCACTTGAGTTATAATTTTTTGGAAATAAAAATACTACTGTTTAGGTTTTTTTGAGATTTTTGGAGATACAAAGATTACGTCTACCACTTGTTACTTAGGTTTTTTCGAGGTCTAATACTATTATTTTGTTTTTTTTCGAGGCAAATATACTCTGTTTAAGTTTTTTCGAGATTTTTTAAGATACAAAGATTACGTCTACCACTTGTTACTTAAATTTTTTTGAGGTATAATACTATAATACTAATTGTTTTTTTTGAGGTAACAATATATACACTACTATGCGTGTACTTGGCGCCTTTCTTTACTTTTTTTTTAAAAAAGGTAATTTTGTACGGATATCACGCCTTTTTGTAGTGTTACGCGTCTTAATCTTAACAGAAAAAAAATTACACCTTATAAAGAAATGTGTCTGAAGTTGTTAATATATATAATATATACATTGCCGGACATTGCTTTTATGTAAAATATGCATCTATATTATGTTGCTTGTAAAAATTATTTCTTATCAACTTTTTCCAAAAATAATAAATTGTGAAACATTTTAAGACTAAAACCAATTCGCTATCTGTATTTTAACTGGTACTTTACTCTTGTACGTATGGGGTACTCACGTTCGAGTTGGCCAAAGGCCGTGTTTTTATTTTTCCGTTACGTGCCCTACGAGCGGAAATATTGCGACGCAAAGTTGAAATGTGAAAATATTATATTAAGATATTTCTACTAACGTCGACGTCTCTCAATATTTTTACAAAACATATTTGAGATTCGCGCAATTGAGATATATAATAAAATTAATAACGATTCTATAAATCTTAGGTATATGTTAATAATACGACATGATCTTTTTAATCATGAAACTTACAAACTAACAGAAAAAGATTCGTATCCTAAATGCCAATAATTTTTCTAATGTAACAATAATACTGAAAATATATGGATAAAAATATATATAATAAATAATAACATAATTAATTTTGTCGCGCATATCAATTTTCAATAATAGATATTATAACAAATACGTTTTACGTTCATTCGAAAATAAATTATGTGTACACATAATAAAAATTGTACGAATTAAAATTATGTGTATACACATAATAAAAGTGCGGAATTATTTTTGTCAGACATAATTTTAATTCATCGAATTTTTATCATGTCAAGACATAATTTTAATTCATCCAATTTTTATTATGTCTAGACATAATTTTAATTCGTCCAATTTTCATTATGTCTAGACATAATTTTAATTCAGTGAATTTTTATTATGTCATGACATAATTTTAATTCTGCCGCTAGGGAATTTTTAAGTCGATTCTTATGAATCAAGCTTGAATTCGATGTCTAGGTGTCCCAGGTTGCCGATGACGAGGTCCACATAGTGCGCTTCATAGTTTTCGGTATCCAGGTGTATTAATATCTTGAATTCGATGTCCACGTGTTCCAGGTTGCCGATGACGGGTTCCAGATAGTGCGCTCTATAGTTTTCGGTGTCCAGGTGTAATAATACGTTGAATTCGATGTCTAGGTGTCCCACGTTGCCGATGACGAGGTCCACATAGTGCGCTCCGTAGTTTTCGGTGTCTACGTGTATTAATACCTCGAATTCGATATCTACGTGTCCTACATTCAGATTTAAAGTTATTAATACACCTAGACACCAAAAACTACAAAGCGCACTATGTGGACCTCGGCATCGGCAACCTGGGACACGTAGACATCGAATTCGAGGTATTATTACATCTAGACACCGAAAACTACGGAGCGCGCTATCTGGACCTCGTCATCAGCAACCTGGGACACCTAGACATCGAATTAAACGTATTATTACACCTGAACACCGTAAACTATAAAGCGCACTATCTGGATCTTGTCATCGGCAACCTGGAACATGTGGACATCGAATTCAAGGTATTAATACACGTAGACACCGAAAACTACGGAGCGCACTATGTGGATCTCGTCATCGGCAACCTGGGACACGTAGACATCAAATTCAACGTATTATTACACCTGGACACCGAAAACTATGAAGCGCACTATCTGGACCTTGTCATCGGCAACCTGGGATACCTAGACATCGAATTCAAGCTTGATTCATAAGAATCGACTTAAAAATTCCCTAGCGGCACTTTCTGCCAAGCGTAGAGAACCTTCTTTTCCGGCAGCGGTGGTAATACGATGTAAGGATACGAAATCTCTCCAGATAAACATGAAGCAATTGACTCAATATATATTATATAAGTATATACCTAATTTACCTAAATAGAAATCTTCCTCCTGACCGATAAGTCTATCGACCTAATTTCGAAATACGCGCGCGATATCGAAACTGGCGATACCTGCGCCGCCAGCGTCGAAAAAGTGAAAGTAACGTTTCTGATTATGACGTCATCATATAACGTCGGCGTTAGAAGTAGAAGAAGAAGAAGAAGTATCTTAATAAAAAATTTTCACATTTGGACTTTGCGTCGCAATATCTCCGCTCGTAGGGCACGGATTGGAATATTATAAGAGAAACCCCCCCCTAATTGGACTTCAAGCTATCGATCAAGCCTACTTAGAACTTGATCCGTTCACTCGTTATCGAGATCTCAACATCTCGGGTACTCGCAACCCGTCGCGTCGCGTAAGAGAATCACGGTCGGTCTCGCTCCGCGTGTACTTGGCGCGAGACACTACCGTGTCTCTTGATGTGTGGTCTATTTTGGTATTCTGCAGATTATAAGAAGATTGAATGTCTTTTCAAGATGGACAAAACTTCAAATGCAAAAGAAAAAACCAAAACTAGCAGAGCTAAGGTGGACGAGGCGACAATGAAAGCTGCGGTGTTTCAAGTCGTCAAAGGAAATCAAAGCATTCGAAGCACAGCAAAATCTTTCAATATCAATCACATGACACTGAGTCGCTGGGTCACTAAATATAAAGAGGCCACGGACGAGCATAAACTTACTATGAAATTTGTTCCTAACTATCAAATTCATCTTATTTTCCCTGCGAACATTGAAGAAGATCTGGAGACATATTTGCTTACGGCATCAAAAATGCACCATGGCCTCACTCGTAAGCAAGTATTAGAACTTGCATATCAACTTGCTGTTGTCAATAAAATTGATTGTCCTAAATCGTGGCATGAGAAGAAGGCTGCTGGATATGACTGGTTTTATAGCTACATGAAGCGACATCCTGCTCTTTCCTTGCGTAAACCTGAAGCAACAAGCATGACCAGAAGCACAAGTTTCAGTTGTCACACCGTCAATATTTTTTTCGACAACTTGGAAAATTGTTTTAAGCAACTTGGAGATCAAATATCTCCCAGTGTAATATATAATCTCGATGAGACGGCCTTAACAACGGTCCACAATCCTCCTAATATCATTGCCAAAAAAGGACAAAAGCAAATTGGTCAAATTACGTCGGGGGAACGCGGGATTTTAGTAACTGCATGCTGCTTCATCTCCGCTGGAGGGAACTCAATTCCACCATTCATGGTGTTTCCAAGAAAGAACTTTAAAGACCATATGATCTACGGAGCTCCGCCCGGCACAGTTGGAAGCGGATCTTTAACTGGCTGGATGAACGGTGAAATCTTTCTTGATGTTCTCAAGCATTTTCAACGACACTCTCGAACCTCACCACAAAACAAGGTATTGCTTATAATGGATAATCATGAATCACATCACGATTGACAGTCTGACTTTCTGTAAGAACAACGGGATAATTCTGTTAACGATTCCGCCACACACATCTCATAAACTCCAACCGTTGGATCGCACAGTATATGAATCTTTGAAAAAGTTCTTCAATTCTGCTTGCAACACATGGATGATATCCAACCCAGGGAAGACGATTTCGATCTACAACATCGCAGCGTTATTGGGACAAGCGTATCCACAGGCATTCACTCCATTGAATATCATGAGAGGCTTCGAAAAAACGGGGATTTGGCCATATAATCGCGATATATTTACTGACGACAAATTTTTGACTTCGTATGTCACTGACAGGAACCAGGGTGTTCTACCAAATTCACCAGATGCACCTCTCGAACCATCGGACTCAGCTGAGATTATCGAAACCAACGTGCCGACTGCAACTGACGTTCTGTTTCACTGTTACGTATCAGCCGATCCTTATGTACCATCCGACGTTCCGATTATCCTTGACATCCCCCTTGATTTAAACTCTGGCACCTCTCAAGCTCCTATGAGTGCGAATGAAATGCTTGATTCATTTCAATCTGGTGCGTTGCCTAATACTAGTGTCCTTGACACTAGAAAAGATTTCATTTCAACATCGGATGTAAAACCATACCCGAAAGCTGCAAATCGCACAGCACCTACGACGAAGCGCAAAACGAGCAGTATTCTAACCGATGATCTTGTAATGAATCAACTGTGCGAAGAATTAGTGATAAAAAACGCCAAAAAAGACGGTGTGCTCGCGAAAAAGATAAAGAAGGAGTTCATTGAAAAAGAGAAATCAAAAGCGAAAAATACAGGCAACGCAAAAGGAAAACGTTCAGCTGCATCTAAATCGCCTCGAAAATCAACAACGCAGGATGTCGAACAAGAAGGGGTGAAGGCTGTGAGCTCTGAAAAGAAAAAGCGTCCTGCTAAGCGCACACCTCTTTCAAAATCAACAGCGGAGAATATCGAAGAAGCATCGAACGTCGAGATTATAGACACTAAGAACAAGAGTTCATCATTCAAATCAAAGAAGGCTAAGAATATCGAAAAAGAAAACGTCTTTCCTAAAAGAGAGTTAAGTACTAAGAAAAGAGATCAAACTTACTAGTCGAGGAGCCAAAGAAATTAACCGAAGAGTGAAAGTACCGATACATTCAGTACTGGAGATGGCTTATTTTATATATACATATATATATATATATGTGTTTCTTATTACTCTCATATATTCTATTCTTATGTTGTTGCATTAAAAATAAAGAGAGCGTTTAAAATTGCATCAAATAGCACCTACTTACATCCCGTGTCACACTTTATACAATGCTTTGAATCAATTGTCACATAGTACCCTTCTGCTTGTCACATAATACCCCATCAGTTGGGTAAAGTGTGACATTTTCCATATTTTCATTACATTAAGTTATTTACAGATTACAATATTTTTTTATTCATACTAATACGTCTATTTCATTCCTAAAGGTTCAATATAAATGCCAATAAAGTTATTTTTTACAAATTCCACGCTAAAAACAAAAATTTATTGCTCCGAAAAAAAAGTGTCACAAGGTAGCCTGGTCTCCCCTACTACATACAAATAAATGTCTGTTTATATTTATTATCAAATCACTTACAAAAAAGTAAATATGTTTCGTATAAGTCTAATTGTTTTTTTCTTTTCGTATTTTTTTACAAGAAATATATATTCCTTTTTATTTATGTACATATATTTGCATATATACTGCATGTTCCGCAGAATATATAGTGCATGTATGTGCACCACTTCTCACGTCCGGGAATGCAAACGCGCTGCCATCCATGAGTATAGTGGTAATTGGTTGCACGCGTCCCGATATGCGCGGTCAATGAGTGCGATTGGCGAGT